CGTGTCTCGTGCCTGCGTCTGTCTGTCCCTGCCTCATTCTGTGTGCGTGTGTCTCTTTTCTCCCTCTTTGTGCTTAAGTCAGCCTTTCCCTGTCTTTTTTTCTCTTTCTGTCTGTGTGCCTCTGTGTGTGAACGAGGCTCTCACTCACTCACTCTCCCCATGCACACAAATGTACTCACCTGCTCAGGCTCTTCATCTTCAAATATTCCATCACAAAGGCAGCCCCACCTCCTGGCAAATCAATCACCTTCATGGGTTTAGGTACTCGCACCAAACCAGTGCTGTGGAGGGCCTCCAGGCTTGCCATCTCTCCTTCAAACATCTGCCGGGCCTGCATCCAAATGCCAAGAACCCTGTCAGCACTGCAAACCTGGACTTGGACAGGATCCTTGCTAGCCAGTCCTAGGGACTCATGACCCTTGATACAAGCCACAAGACCAAGTGCCTTTAATTACTGAAAAACAACCTCACATCTACCCCTCAAGGCCAGGGTGCAGAAGAGCCGCCTTCAGGTAAGAAGGGGCTAAAAGGATAAGCCTGAGGCCAGAATTCAAGGGGTCTTCGGGAAGACCTAGCAAAGCCTTGCTGTGGAAGGTGCACCGGGCAAAGGCGATGCCAAGGGGTGGTAGTAGGAGGGATAGGCGCAAGTCAAGTGTGAGCTAACAAAAAGTCTGAGGCTGGGCCTGAGTCCTCCATGGTGTTGCTTTCTCTCCAGTCTCTGAGTGGGAACAGGCAGCCTTGGGCATGGTAGAAATTACCTGTGCTCACGTTTGGGTCAGAGAAGGCCAGGGGAGGTCAGTGGGGCCTGGCTCAGTTCTAGCACAGACATACACATGCATATACACAAAATAATTGAATATTTTTAATTACGAAAACAAGACTTGAAGGCAAAACACTTGTTATCACACACAAGAAGGACTCTTCCCTCTTTAATTCAAATTTCCAAGGGGAAAGTCGACAGGTATCCTCAAATTGCCATCCTGCTCATGGGACCAAGAGGCATGTGTTGAGTATCCTGGATAAGATAAGAGGGCATCTGCAAACCCCAGCCATGCTTCCAGGGTAAGCCTACTCCTGACACCATCTCTAATAATATCAAAAGGGCTGCTCTGGGATTCTCTTTACCCACACAGTCAGCGAACCTGCTAGAACCTCGGTCCACAACTGCTCCACAGAGCATAGGACCTCCGGAAACCCCCAGAGCAGGGGGAGCACCGGGCTGTGCCATCAATACCTTGCTCTCGGGGCCTTTAGCTAACAACACTCTCCATCTGTGCTACAGTTTTCCATGCATTTGTTGCTGTTGTTAGTTGTTTTTATTTTGAGTCAGGGTCTCCTCATGTAGTCCAGGCTGGCTTGAAACTCACCATGCTATGCTTATAAATGGGTGACACTATTCCTGGCTCCATACTTTCTTAAACAGGAATATCTTAAGGGTCCTAGTAACATCAGAGCTTGTGAGGAGGATAGTGCTACCCTGACCCTGGGAATCCTGTCTTTCCCCATCTTTTGGGAGAATGCAGGGCCAGACATGGGCAGATGCAGCTTACAACTAAGTCTCATCTCCTCTACTGTCAGTGACAACAGAACTGTAAAGCCCTCGTGTAGGGGACAAAAGCAAGAAAGTGATCTTGCAGCAAAGGAAATCCCCCGATCCCAATAGGAAGCCTGCCTGCAGGTGCTGATTCCTCAGCAGAAGGTAGGGACACCAGGTCTTGTTCCCCCACCGCTTCCCGGACTTCATCCTTGCACACCCCTCGGCGTACCTGCGTCCTGCGGTTGACCTTGACAAACACCGGGCCAGTGTCAGTGTCATAGGCACGGCCTTCGCTGATGCAGCCGGCCCCGGAGCTCCCAAAGGCTCGCAGTGTCTTGGTGCGCAGTTCGGCGCGCAGCAGCTGCTCCATGGAGTCTAGAGAACCAGAATGCCTGGAGATGACACAGAGGAGGGGACCTGAATATCAGCAGGAAACCCGCAGTTCGGGGTGGGGGGTGGGGCGCTGTCGGGCTGCCACAACAAGTTTTGGACCCAGTGACGCGCGCATGGCCACTTGGGTGCGCACTATCCCTGCAGGCTCCTAGTGCACCAGGGCTGAGGTGGGAGGGGGGGGGAGAGGAGGAATTGGACCAGACAGCTATTTCTCTCTCCAAGACAAGCTCTCCCCGGGGTAGCGGGGATGCAACGGCTCTCAAAGCTCTCCTACTAGTTCATTCTGTAATTTCTATTCTGGCTTGACTCACCCTGGAGGAGCAGGAACACAGACCTGATCTTGGGTGTTCTGTAAAGCCTGAGAGACAGAATGGAAGTGTCCTTGTGTCCTCACAGCATGCATGTGACCTGCCAGCACATCTTCACCCATCTGGGGTCCACCCTAGGCCCTGTGCTCTCTGCACAGCTGGGCGGATCAGGAGTGCTCACAGGAAGATTTGGGCCAGGGCTTCTTTATCCTTGCAACTTGAGGCACAGCCTAAAGACTCAGCTATCCTGCAGAGAGCTTAGCTGGGCTCTCACTGTCCAGATTAGGGTAGAGTCCTAGTCAGGGAGGGTGCCCTAGCTAGGCCTTAGTGGCACCTTTAATGCCACAGGACTGGGTGATAAAAGCTGTTCTGGGGGTTGTGATAGCAGCAACCTACCCCACCCAGGGTAGGTGGGACTCTGGACAGCCATGATAGGAAAGGAATTTCAAGACACAAATGCTATACTATAATGTCTCCTGCTGACTATAAAGGGAGTAGGAAGATTAGTGGGATGAATGATCCATTGCTGAGCATTCTGTGTGTGCTAGGGCACAAGCGAATTCAGCAAAGTTCACATCTATCTTATGAGAGGATCCGATAATTAGTTCTCACCTTCTCTGTGAAGAAACTGAAGCATAGAGGAGTTAACTTGCACCAGACCCAGGGCTGGGAAATAGCTCAGAATATGTGAAACGGAATCCCAGCCTCTGAATCCTAGTCTCAGGTCCCCAGTGGGACAAGACTCTTCCCAGGGTGTGTCATAGGAAGCCTGACACCACCACCACACAGCTCAGCGTTTTCCTCTTGACCTGCCAGCTAACAGCTCTGTTGCCCTATCAGCACCCTTATATCAATGGTGACGCTACTGTGAAAATGAAGCCCGAAGCACAGAAGAGTTAATGTATATGAGGCTGCAATCAATAAGCCTGTATTAGGAGCTCCAGCAGGCCTCAGAGGGGCAAAACCTGTCAGGTCTGGTTATCCCTGTAGTCTTTGTGGTCTGTCCCTGGCTCAAAACTTTAATAATAATAATAATAATAATAATAATAATAATAATGTATCTGGCACCTATGCGAGACGATTGGAATCTGGGCTCAGCAGACACTATCAAGCAAGGTACATTGATACGGCCTCCCAATGTGGCTTGGTCATTCCCAATCATAGAGGCCAGAGTGGGCATCTCTAGCGCCAGGGTTCCACCCCAAGGGCCTGTTCTAACCTGGTTGTAAAGCCAAGCACCATTTCCGTCTTCCCTCTGTGCTGTCTCTTGCATGGCTGACCTAATTGGGGTGGTGAGGAAATGAAGAAAAACACATGGACACACAGGAAAGCTAGAATAAAGTGGACAGGGCACTTTGATGGAGAAGCTTCAGCATCCCAGAATCTCAGTATGTTCATTATTTAACAGAAGAACAAATAGACAGTGTTTGTGGTATAGAGCTAAATCAAGGTGGCAGGCTTAACTAACCTCGGTAGGAGCAGTCTCTGTAGGGGTGCAGTCTTCGGGCAGTAAATATCTGAGAGGAAAAGGCTACGGCGGGCATTTTCTGCATGCACTATCTACATTCACACTCAGACCATAGAAAAGCCTCGTCATTTCTGTGAGCTTCACCTGGAGGAAAGGGTGTGCCAGACTCTCATGGGTCTGACTGAGGCTTTGGTGTTGATCTTGTAGGCTCATGTAAACAACAAATCCACACAGGCCTTCTCTGCTCCCCACACTATTGACTATGATCCTTCAAGGCCATACCAAGTAAGTGGACTTGACACTACAAGGTCACTACAAAAAAACAGGTAACTGGTATCTCCATTTGAGGCGTGTCCTACCATTGCACCTTGACATAAAGCATTGAGACCACTACAACCGGAAACTTCTTTGTTGTTGGCTGACAAATTGACTGTGTATAGAACTTGAGGTTGGTCAAACCATTCTGTTTCAGACTAAGAAGGCACCATTGCTTGCCATCTTCCATAAGTATTGGAAGGTTTGAGGCGTTTTTTATTCTTCATAGATCTGTCCTCTCTCTGGAGATTTCTAGGCTATTCTGTGTAACCGGTGTTTAAAAATCCCAGTGATGTGTTTCAGGTACATCTGTCAGCACTCTCCGGATAGACTGCTAGGTTACCTCAAAAGGAAAGCCTACCCTCACACAGCCCCTTGAGCTTTCTTTCACACAGGTCATGACGGACTATAATTACAATGAGAGACACAGAAAGGACCTGTGAGAACAGGACACAACCTGGGGCGGTGTTAATAAGAAACTAGCAGTTCAGAGGCAAGATAGTTGGGATACTAAGTCTCTTAAGATAGTAGTAGAGTCAATTTTATGGGCGAGAAAGACAATATTGTAAACAAAAACAAAAAACAACTGGAGAGGAGGTTAAGCAAAGGGCTAAGTGTTGCAGAAGTTTCTCTCTTGTCCCGCCAGGTCCCACCACCGTTTCAGCCCCAAATAAGTACACAGGATGCTGCATTAATTATAAAACTGTCGGCTGATGACTAGGGCTTCTTACTGACTAGCTCTGTCTTAATTATTAACCCATTTCTATTAATCTATGTATTTCCTCATGGTCTTGACTTACCGGAGAATATCCATTAAGTCTATCACACCAATAGAAAAATAACTAATACAGTCCCCTTTCAAAACAGGAAGAAACAAAAGTACCTATTTATTGTCACAATATAGCATTACGATATTTTCTGACAAATGGCTAAGATAAATATTGAGTACATAAATGTGGAAATAAGTCTCAGGCACAACTGAAACAACTGCAATTTTATTCAAATTTTTAGGCAAAAAGATTTATCAACATCAATGTTATTCATGAAATTTCCCATCTCTACAATACTGAAAGACAGAAAAAAATATTAACACAAAAGCTCATGTGTTGCAATGAAATGACAGCTTTAGCGGTGGTGGCGCACACCTTTAATCCCAGCACTCAAGAGGCAGAGGCAGATGGATCTCTTAAGTTTGAGGCCAGTATAATCTACACAGTAAGTTCCAGGACAGCCAAGGCTACAAAGAGAAACCCTGTCTCGAAAACAAAAGAAAAGAACAGAAAGCTAGCGTATCAGGAATATTTCCAGGCTCCTAAATGGAACCAAGTTACCCTAAGGTTGCTAGCTTGATCGATCAGTCCTCAAGCCACTTTCCAGACTGCTCAGCTTGTAACGGGGATCAGAAGTAGTACACAGGCAAAGGGAATATCCCTGATTTTAGAGCTGGTCCTTACTCAGATCTGCTAATGACTCCATGTCTAGGTCAAGCCTATCCATCATAGGGATCACTGTGAACAGCTCAGAAATGTTGACAATGGACAAGGAAGGGGTGTGAGTGGACACACTGGCCACTTCCCTGCGTAGCGGGTACCCACAAGCACTCCAACACAGGCACTCACGCTTCTTTACCGTTGCCGCAGAGTGTGGCCCACCCATCCTTAAACTTTGTAAGCCACTGTTCATATCACCAGTGAGGCCTGATCTAGCCAGAAAGTCTTACAATGTATACAGCTTCAGGATTATATAAACTTTCCTCTGAAATAACCCATATTTTACAAAGCTTAGAAATAAGATGTCAAGGAATGTTAAGCAAGTCCAGCCATGGAGTAAATGGGAAGAATTCATGAGGAGAAGGACCGTGGAGTACCATGAGCTCCTTGACCATACACTTGGAACCTGGCCACCTGACTCCGAGGTGCTTCCCTCAGTTCACAATGATGCTGTGATGGTCAGACTTGGCATCGTCTTGTACTCTGGCCAGTTCATTTGCTGAGATTCCTCATTATGCTTAGAGAGGACCCTCTGTACCCAGACCCAAAGTGATTCCAGTGGTTCAGATAGTGAAAGAGCTGATATAACTGCAAGCGCTTCTCAAACCCCGGGGTTTTAGGGATTTTGCTATGGTAGGCAGAGTAAAAGGAGCTGCTGAAGCCCCCAAACATGCCAGCTATTGCCAGCTCGTACTCTGAGTGGCCGTAGAAGGAAGCTGGATCAAAAATGATGGGCCCAGAGGAGTCTTCTGCTACATTCCCTCCCCAGAGGTCTCCGTGAAGTAAAGAGGGCACAATTTCCAGATCATGGAACAGGTCAGGAATCTTCAACTGCAAGGAAGAAGATGGACCCTTAACAGAGTGGTCAATGACCATGGAGGTGGAGATATTTCCCTAAGTGCTGCTGCATACATCTATCTGAGCAGTTACTCAGATGTGCCTGACTTAGAGGGAGTAAGGGAGTAGGGGCGGACTCGATGCTACCCCTACCTTCGTGCCTCCCCTTTACTCGGGCTCAGTGGAGCATACTATTGGCACTAGGCATATAGCAGAGGTCCTGCTCACCTGCAGAGCAGACCACAGTTCCAGAGCTTCCCGGTCTCCAGACCTCTTCTCTACCATGTCCATCTGAGGCTGAATGCGCTGCCTGGCATAGAACGTGACCCAATCCTTCTGCCAGTCATTTACCTGCACAGGGGACAGTAAAGGAGAAAGCAGACGGTCTTAGCCAGCGTTTCTATTGCTGTGACAAAGCACCGTGACCAAAAAGCAAACCTGGCAGGAAAGGGTTTATTTAGCTTACACTTCAGCATTGCTGTTCATCACTAAAGGAAGTCAGGACAGGAACTTACACAGGGCAGGATCCCAGAGGCAGGAGACAATACAGAGGTCGTGGACGGATGCTGCTTACTGGCTTGCTTCCCATGGCTTGCTCAACCCACCTCTCATAGAACCCAGGACCAACAGCCCAGGGATGGCACCACCCACCATGGACTGGGCCCTCCCTCACTGATCACTAAATGAGAAAATACATTACAGCTGGATCTCATCCAGACATTTCCTCAACTAAGCCGCCTTCCTCTGATGACTCTAGCTTGTATCAAGTTGACACACAAAACCAGCTAGTACATGGACTTTGCAGAAAACTTCAGCACTGAAGGAGACTTGAGTGCCCAGAAATCCCAAAGCAGAAAGAGCTACAGGAAGCATGAAGAGGGATAGCAGGCACAGGAGGCTGAAGAGTGATGGGAGATGTCATTCTGTAAATATGTTTCTCGTATTGGTTAATGAATAAAGCACTGTTGGCCAATAGGAAAGCAAGATAGGCAGGACTAGGAGACAAGGAGGAGAGAGGAAGTAGTAGGGAGGAGATTCAAGATGAAGGACCTATAGGGTAGGAGCCGGTCTCACTCTCCGGTAAGATGAGACCACGTGGAAATACTTAGATTAATAGAAATGGGTTAATACTCAAGACAGAGCTAGCCAATAAGAAACTAGTAACTGGCCAACAGAATTATATCTAATACAGTGACTCTGTGTGTTATTTGGGGCTGGCACAGCGGTGGGACAAGGCTGGCGGAAAAACCTACTGTTAACAGAAGAGGTTAGAGAAGACCCTGGCAACACAAAACCTAGACATAAGCTACGACTGTGGTCCAGTGTCTTGGGGATTGGTAAGCAGGGTATGCCAGGTGACCAGATGCACCCTTCCAAGCCTAATGATCCACTAAAACAATTTAATTATAACAACTATGGAACAAAGGCCAGAGCTAGCTGACCTTCTGGATCTCATGGTTTGTTTCTGACCATCTTCCAACACCTACCTTGTCCTAAGATAGATGAGAAAAGTCATAAGGAGCCTCTTTTAAACAAACCAAGAATGTCCAGGCACAGTTCTTACCCCCAGGAGGGAAGTAAATTAGGTATGTGAGAGTAAATCAGCTCAGAGCAGGACGTGACACAGGAGGACAAAACACCATATACATAAGTACACATATAGGCACGTGTACATATCTGCACGTGAACATACATGCATTGTGAGTTATAGGCAAGGGAGGAGGGACCAATGCCAATGGATACACACCCTAACATATGGGATCTGAAAACCCCACACAAGGCAGGTTTACATATGCCCTCCTACACGTTGCTAAATCTATGGCCCCTGTTCCCACCATAAAACATCTAGAAGTTTCTAGATTCTGCATTTACTCCTCTTGGCAAAAAGCTCTCCTAGTTTACTTTTTGTTACTGTGATAAAATACCCTGGTAAAATCAACCTGGGGGTATTTCTTATTTGCTTGTTTTTTATCTTACACTTCCAGATTATATTCCATCATTTCAGGAAGGTCAAGGCAGACAGGAACTAAAACCAACTATTCACATCTAGAGTCTTTGATAGTTTAACACTTTGGGATCCAGAGGGGAGTGGACCCTACTCTACTCATAGTAAAGTTCTCAGATGACTGGGTCCTTAAATAAAACAATGTACTTCCTGACATATACTTAAATCACCTCCTCATTACTTATAATACCTAACTGCTGACATGGCTTAGCAGTTAAGAGTACTTGCTACTCTTGTAGAGGACCAGAGTTCCAGTCCCAGCACCTCTTTGTATGCTGTGAATATGTCTTATTGCCATTGGTTTATAAAGAAGCTGATTTGGCCAATAGACAAGCAGAATAGAGTCAAGCAGGAAATCCAAGCAGAGATACAGGGAGAAGAAGGGTGGGGTATGGGAGGCATCAGCAGCGTCTGGGAAAGCAAGATGTGAGGTAACAAGCCACACAGAGACTAATAAAAATGGGTTAATTTTCTGGGTGGTGGTGGGGGCTCACACCTTTAATCTCAGCTCTTGGGAGGCAGAGGCAGGCAGATGGATCTCTATGAGTTCAAGTCCAGCCTGGTCTACAGAGCGAGTTCCAGAACAGCCTCAAAAGTGACAGAGAAACCCTGTCTTGAAAAACCAAAATAATAATAAGCCTGAGCTAACAGGCCAAACATTTTGTAATTAATATTAAGCCTCTGAGTGGTTATTTTAAAGGGGCCTATCAACCAGGCAGGATACAGAAAAGCTCTGGTTACAAGCACCCAGGTCAGGCTAATCACAACCACCTGTGACTACAGCTCTAGAAGATCTAACTCCTTCTGCTTTAGCAGGTACCTGTGCATATACATATACATATATAAGTGTGTATCTCTTTAAAAATAAGTTAGGCATAACGGTATATACCTTTAATCACAAGAATTGGGAGGCAGAAACAGGCAGATGTCAATGAGTTCTAAGCCACATCTAGTCTACATAGTGAGTTCCAGGCCAGCCAAGGCTATATAGTGAGACCCTGACTCAAAACAAATAAATAAATAATAAAAAAACATTTTCTAATTTTTAACCTCTCCATGAAATCCAGTATCCTAACTTGCTGCTCCTTCTGCCTTGTTTTCCCTCTTAATCTAACATACGAGTTTACTTCATGTCAACTTCTTAGAAATTATCAGGGAAGCTGGGCGGTGGTGGCGCACACCTTTAATCCCAGCACTCAGAAGGCAGAGGCAGGTGGATCTCTGTAAGTCTGAGGCCAGCCTGGTCTACAGAGCGAGTTCTAGGACAGGCTCCAAAACTATACAGGGAAACAATGTCTTGGGAAAAAAAAATTATCAGGAAAAAAAAGAGTCCAAAGAGTTAGAAAATCTCACAGAAAAGGAGCAGAGTAATTTCCCCACTGTGTTGGTCTAACTGTGAAATGGGAGTTAGTTCTGAGGCACTCACCTGGGGAAGGTATCCACAGCATGTCACCACGTCAAACCCAAACTGGTCCACAAAGAGCCGCTCTGCCTGCCCACTTCCTTTCCCTTTCATACAAGAAGAAACAAAGATGACTAGTTTGTTCCCTGGTTCCAAGAGACCCTCAGCCCACTCTGGGAGCTCAGAGTGATTGCTTTTCAGCCAGTATGCTCTTACCTCCTCATGCCTTACCCAGAGATAAGCAAGATCCTCAGACCACTCAGAACAGCATCTGCTTTAGCAGACCTAATAACCAAGGACACTAGCTATTCCAGAAGCTGAACCAAGTACCAGAGGCTACACAAGGATGGAGGGATACACAACATTGTCATGAATAAATAAATAAAGAAAGAAAGAAAGCAAGCAAGAAAGAAAGAAAGAAAGAAAAAGAAAGAAAGCATGAATTTATTTAGAGAGGAAAAATAATCTACCATAATCCATCAGGAAAAGAGGTTTGTCAGTGGCCAATGTAGTTGCATTTTTTTGACAGATAAAACTATTATACTTGCTAGGTGGTGACACACACCTTGAATCCTAGCACTAGGGAGTCGGAGGTAGACAGATCTCTGTTAGTTCGAGGCCAGCCTGCTTTACAGAACTAGTTCCAGGATAGCCAAAACTACACAAAGAAGCCCTGTCTCGAAAAATAATAATTAAAAAAAAAAAAAAACTTGTACTTTGAAACTCAACCTCATGTGTCTTCCTAAACTCAAGAAAATCTCAGTCAAATGAATTTCCAAGCAACAGGAAAGGCAGTTACAGGGCCTATTAGTAGATCCTCACAGGACAAGGAGACAGGCAGGTGGTACTGCCAGCATATCATCACAGGCTGGGTAGGCTGCCAGGACCCCCCCACTGGAACTTTACACAGTACATTCTGGATTATCTGTTTTCTGACTGTCAGCTATCCTACCTAACAGAGTCAGCACATGAGGGACACATGAATTATCCACTGTCAGCCTGAAAACACTGGAAAGTCCTCTCAGTGCTAACATCAGACTTTGTTCTAGATGGGCAGTGTTAGGGCTGTCATTCTGAGACTCCAAATGGTGTGTACATGGAAGAAAAGACAGTGTGTTTAAAGGAATCACTCTATATCGAAAGCCAAAACCACTTAGATTAGACTCCCTTCTGGAGAGTTAAGATATAAAGCAACCATAACATCACATGGCTTCAAGTCCAGAGATATTTCCTGTTTTTCAGTATTTCTAAAACACATTACCCTATCCCTGAGCCCATGCTGGCTGAAGGCCCTTCTCTGGACAGGGTCCCTTAGGGTTACACAGTCCCTTACCCACGGTGCCAGCCTCCTTCAGGAGCCCTTCTCCAAGCTTCTTGTTCTCAAGGTGTAGATCTGCAAGCTGGGACCCAAGCTTGGTGGCATGACTAAAACCAAAATGCAGGAACTAAACAGATGACACACAAATAGCAGATCCATCTGAAAGATCTCAAGGCACATAAAGCAGGTTGAACACTGAGCATAAAGCAGATCAAACACTGAGCATAAAGTGCATTCTACCAGAGGCTGGAGAGATGACTCAGTGGTTAAGAGCACTGGCTGTTCCTCTAGAGGACCAGGGTTCAATTCCCAGGACTCACATGGCAGCTCAAAATTGTCCAGATGGATCCAGCTCTAGATCCAGCTCCAGGGATCTATGACACCAGGCATGCATGTGGTGTACATATCTTTGCTGTGCATGCTGGCAAAATACACATATACATAAAATAAAATAAATTAATCTTTTTTTAAAGTTCATTGTACTGAAATAAGAAGACAACTAGGTGAGTTGGCACGATATCAAGAATCCTAGGACAGAAGAGGTAGGAGGATCAAGATCAAGACTCACCTGCATGAGAACCTGTTTCAAAAATAAACAAAATCAAAACAGGGGGTTTTCCCCATTATTTGACCACCTTTCCTTGTCTTCTTAGACTTGGCAACTGAGTCTTTTGAGAGAGTCCTCTCTCTCTGGCTTTTAGTGGGCAGAGAGTACATGTCATTTACACTATAGAGCCATCATCTGTGTAGCCATGGGCTGTTTACACCACACCTCAAAATCATGCCCCCAAATACAAGATTCCAATATAAGAGACCCACACAGGAGAAAAATAAAGCCTTTGCTTCCCACCAGAAAGGATGGCGCCAGGACAGACCTGCTCAGATACCGCATGTCCAAATGCTCCATCACTAGCAAGCTCCCACCTCCTGGGGCATCGAGAACCTTGATGGGCTTGGGTACTTTCACCGTGTCTGTCTTCATAATGGCCGTTAAACTTGCCATCTCACCTTCAAACATTCTTCTTGCCTGTCAGTAAAACAATGGAGGAGATGACCAAGGTCACCAGGGAAAGACTATTTGGACATGCTTTCTCCTGGCACTGCAATTGCAAACCACATCTATGCTATACAGAGGACACAGGAAATGGGCAGTGCTTTCATGGTACTCATTGGAAGAACAGGCTATTAAGTGCTGAAGTCTCACCGGTATAAGCAAGCTTGTACTTCCCAGTTTGGGACTGTACTTTTTGTTTGTTTTTTGAGACAAGAGTTTCTCTGCACAGCCCTGGCCATCCTGGAACTCACCCTGTGTGAGTTCCAACTCAAACTTAGAGCTTCACCTGCCTCTGCCTCCTGAGTGCTGGGATGGAAGATGTATGTCACCACCACCCACCCAGCTGGGACTGCATTTTATTTGGTTGGTTTTTGTTTCTTGAGACAGAGTCTCTGTGTAGCCTTGGCTGTCCTGGGACTGGCTTGTAGACCAAGCTGCCCTTGAGCTCATAGAGAATTGCCTGCTTTTGCCTCCCACAAGTGTCAACTAATCAATTCTGAAGCATCACCATCACAAGATTAAGAATCCAGATACCAACAGAAATTCTGCTTTTTCTCACCCATAGCCATTGCCCATGCCAAGGGACAGCTGTCTCTACCCTTACTTCTAATATCAAAGAGCTATTCTGCCAGTGTGGTCATTTATTTTTATTTATTTACTTATTTATTTTTGAGACAGTTTCTCTGTATTGCTTTGGAGGTTGTCCTGGAACTCTCTCTTTAGACCAGGCTGGCCTTGAACTCACAGAGATCTGCCTGCCTCTGCCTCCCAAGTGCTGGAATTAAAGGCATAAGCCACCAATGCCTGGCTCAGTTTGGTCATTCTTCTTGTGTTACTGGGTTTCCTGTTGCTGTTTTTATTCAACAGGGTTTTACTATGTGGTCCATGCTGGCCTCAAACTCACAATCCTCCTGCCTCATCCTCCTGAGTGCTGCTTGATCACTTTACATCCAGTCATATGGGCTCTGGGGACTGGTGTATTTGTTGTATCTTCACCATGTATACTATTTCACAGTGTGAACATACCATCCTATTGAATAGTGCTGACATGAAAATTCTACTTACTCTGTGATCTTGGGCGAGTTACTTAAGCTTTCTTTGCTTCAGTTCCCTCACCTATAAAATGAGAGAATACTAAACTTCTTACGCTTGGGTTATGATTAACTGTGTTAGCAGCTAACACACAGCCCATTCCGAACACTGCAAATGTTATGATTACTCGCTGACAGGGCCCAAGTTTGTGAGAAAGAAGATAGGAACTATGTCCTAAACAGAGCCTTCACAGAAACTCTTTAGAAAAGCTAAACTTTTGCAAAGGTCCTGGTGATAGACTACTTTAAGAGGCAGCATTGAAAAAAGAATTCAGGAGAGGCTTTAAAAGGGACTTCGAAGCCATTAAGAAACAGAGCTCCTTTACAGACGTGATTTTACTGCGTATGTGGTCTGAAGACTCCAATCTACAAAAGTAGCTACTTATGAATAGACCTATAGGAAAATTAAGCTTCAGTTGGACCGTTGTGAAAACAAACAAAACCTGGAAACAATCTAAAAATGGGATAAACCAGGCATCACATAAGAACAATCATAGACCAGGTACATCCTAGAAAGGCAAAAGAAAGCAAATACAAGAGCAGGCAGGGAGTTGTAAACGTCTTAACTCATAGAAAGTAAAGCATGGACGAGTTGGATTTCTAACACAAACTATATTTACAATCAGATGTTTACCTTATGGCCCATGTACCTTCATACTACATATTCCAGAGCAAGCAAGAAGGCCTTGCCTTTAGTCCCAGCACTTGGGAAGCAGAGGCAGGCAGATCTCAGTGAGTTTGAGGCCAGCCTGGTCTACAGAGAGAGTGTCAGGACAGCCAGGACTGTTTTTTTTTTTTTTTTTTTTTTTTTTTGGGGGGGGGGGTTGGTTTTGTTTTTGTTTTTTGAGACAGGGTTTCTTTGTATCACTTTGGAACCTATTCTGGAACAAACAAAAACACACACACTTTCTGAAAGAGAGAGAGAGAGTACAAGTTCACAACTAGGAATTGAACTCAGGACTCTGCAAGGCATATGTCTGAGTTTGAGGCCAGCCTGTAGAATATGATGAAGAACATCATTGCCACGCTAAGTACTGGCGCTGAGGATAAGTCAGTGTGCAAGAGAGACTTCAAGGGCAGTTGGCAGAGTTCAACTTATGTCTGTAGATAGTGGTTGGAGTCAAGTCTTGAGAAAATAATTTCAAAGGCTAACACACATGTGAATGAAAGGCAGGACTCCTTTCTTGAAAGAAAAATGAACACAAAAGCAAGCCAGGCTTGCGGCTAAATCCTGTAACCCCAACACTCAAAAGCACTTTGAGGGTGTTGTGACCTGTAGGGTTTGACAAGAAAATAAACATCTCCAGTCTTACTGAAAATGACATGCCAAGTCCTACAGAAGCCATCCACCTCCCTTCCAACCAGGACCTGGAGTGAGCAGCTTAAAACCACAGAGGGGCAGCAGCAACCAGGAACACAGTGCGGCTCGCCCTACGGGAGCAATAGGGCGCTTGAGTGCACTCTGATACTTTAAGATCTTTGGTCTGTTAGCTTTATTTAGTCTCTGCCAGTTGAATGAGCTCCAGACTAAAAATGCGTGCACTCTGAAGTTTCTCAAAACTCGCCCAACAGAAGGGCTTTTCTCAAAGAAGTGGGCCCCGCAATCTCAGAACACCAGGCGCAGCACCCGAGTGGCCACTGCGGCCAGAGCCGGCCGGCAAAGGCAGGGAGGCCGGAGTGAACCGGCCGGGGTAAGGCGGTCACGCGTGGACGGCGGACAGACGGAGCCTATGGCTGTAGACTGGGTCTCCAGCGCTACCCACCGGCTCGGGATCTCACACACCCTGGACCCACACCAGGCCCCATTTTCGCTGCGGGCCCTACCTCAGCCTTGGAGTTCACTTTCACAAACACTCGTCCTCTGTCGGTGTCGTAACTCTGGCCCTGGCTAATGCACCCGCCTCCCGAGTGACCCGTAGCTTTGACGGAGCTGCACCCCAGCTCCCGCTTTAGCAGCGTCTCCATGGTAGTTGCGCCGCAGCAAACCTGCTTCAGGCCTGAAGCACAAGCAAGATAGCGGCGGGGTGGGGCGGGGCAGACACAGGCCAGTGACGGGATTGGGTGTCGAGGAGGAAGGGGCGGGGCCTGAGTGATTAGGATTGGGTGAGCGGCAGGGCCACACCCGCAGGTTCCCTCCTGCTGGTAGGGGGGCAGGAGCTGGGGAACTGGGTACCTCCCCCGCCTGGAGGCTACGTGCATGCTAACCTCTTCTCAGTTCAAACTGCTTCAAAAGGGTCCCCAGACAGCAGTGAAGACAGGGAAGTCTTCCCAACCCAGCAGAACTGCCCGTGAAACCGTTAAGTGAGGTGAAGCTAAGCGGCTAGGGTTCTGCAGAGGGTGATGTAATCCCTTCTCAGACTACTCGCCACACCACACCATTTCCCTGGCCCACAGACCTGCCCTCCTCTGGGAGACTCAGAGGTCCGCGTGCTCGCAGATAAGCGCTAGGGGAACCAAGAATGTTAAACACACAGGGTTAGTTGTTCCTTCAGAGGAAGGGATGCATAACCTGCTATCCACACAGAAGGCTGGGAGCAGATGTAGGTTAATAGCCTGGTGACCTTTACGATATCTGTGTGACTGAGTCCCCACCGAGCCCTCCCTCAGACCTTTATTAGTTTGTCAATATGTAGAACCTATCTTTATGGAAGATGTCACATGTACTTTGCAAAGACACAAGTCTTTATTGTACACGCTAGATTGAGTTCATTATCACTAGGAATTTTTTCACCAAATTGTGCTGTGCCTACAATATGCCTAAATAAACTACTCAGGGTCATGTTGAACCGAATTGCCTTCTTGCCTCTACCTGTAGGTCCTTATTCTGCTGGCCATGGTGGTTACAGAGACCCTTCCCATCCTCCCTTGCCCTAATCACCCTTGATGCTCACCTGCCAGCTGCTGCTATTCAGCTGCCCCTCAACCTGCCAGAGCTTCCGGGCTGGTGACAATGATCTGTAGTACAGGACTCGACTGCATAAGTCTGAAAACTCTGGGATACGCTGCCTCCAAACAATTTTTGTTTTGAATGTGAATATCAGAACAGGGAGCATCCCAGCCAGACTTCAGTTCCTCCAAGACATGTTAAAATCTGACTTGCTCAGAGGAAACAAAACAGCAGGATGTGTGTATAGATATAAAGAAAAAGACTTAAAATCAGGGTATAGTGGTGCATGCCTTGAATTCCAGCAATTGGGAGGCAGAGCAGGCAGATCTCTGTGAGTTGGAAGCCAGGCTGGTCTACATACAAAACAAGTTCCAGGACAGCCAGAGCTTTTACACAGAGAAACCCTGTCTGAACAACAGAGAGAGAGAGAGAGAGAGAGAGAGAGAGAGAGAGAGAGAGAGAGAGAGAGAGAGAGAGAAGAGAGATGAGAAGACTGACTTAAGAAATTACATATCTGAAATCAGTAGGCTCTAGTGGCAGGCTGGAGATGAAAAGAATTGCTGTCTGCGGCCATGCTCCCACAAAATTCCTTCTGGAGGAAGGTCAATTTGTTCTGTTCAGACCTTTAGCTGGCTTTATGAGGGCACTACACTGTGGAGAGAAATGTGCTTACTCCAAGTCTACTGACTTAAATGTTAAATGAATGGAAACATACATAATTTTGTTGTTTTGGTTGTGGACTGTGGAGTTGAGTTTTGTGAGATAGGTCTCACTCTGTAGGCTAGGCTGGCCTCAGAGTCAGGATAATCCTGCCTCAGCCTGCCTCAGTACTGGGATTATGGACACCAACCCCCTGCCATAAAAAAAAAAAAAAAAACGTTTAACCAAATAAGTGGGCCACACAATCAAGTTTACACAGTCAACTACCATGTTTCCCCATTCTTTCCCAGTAAATACCACAGTAGGAAGCAACAGCTGTGTTGTGGACATTCTTTCAATAAGAATGTGCTAAAATGAGTGGATAATGAAATCTTGGACGTTTACAGGGATAAAGGCAATTGGAGGATGTATGCAGATTGTTTAACCCAACTTTCTGCTGAAAACATCTAGGAATGTTGATTGGTATTGTTGAAACGCATCCTATCAAAGAGCTGACAAGACAGAAAGGCACACAGGCATAGTGTCTGGGTAACAGAAACCCCGAGTGGGGAGGCAAAACTCAAAAGCCACTCAGGTCTAGGACAAGAGCTGGTTTCAGGAGGCTGGAGAGATGGCTCGGCAGTTAAGAGCACTTGGCTGTTCTTTCAGAGGACCTGAGTTTTATTCTCAGCACCCACATGACAACTCACCACTGCCTGTAACGCTAGTTCCAGTGGATTCAACCCTTGTCCTCTATGAGGTATCAGGCATGAACACGGTACACGTATGTGCAGGCAAAACATTCACAGTAGGGAAATAACTTTTAAAAATCTAAAGCTAGGTTTTGTTGCATCTTGTTTTTAGTAAACATGTGTCTAAGTAGCAGTACGGGACTAGATGGGTTCCAGGTGCCCAGGTAGAGGAAGAACAACTTCCCCATAAATCTAGGGTTCCGAAAGGCTACGCGTACGCGAGCAACAAGAAGGTAAAGTGCCACTAAGTCTGAACCTGGCACCTAGGAAGCCTCGCCCTTGGACAAGGAGGTGGTGGTATGGGTAGAAGTCATTCTTGTCTGGTCTTGATTAGATTTGCAACCCAAATTCATATTACTTAAGATTATTTTTTAACGCAAGTTTTGAGCAAACGGGGAACATAGGCACCGCGAAGAAGACACACGAGATCTCTCCTGAGCAATACACCTTTCCTTAGCCTTCATGGGAATCCTTTACATAATTCAAGGACAATGAAAGTCAAAAGTGAACCGTGGAGTCAAAAGTAGTGTGGGATCTTTCGGTAAGCTTCGAATATGCGTTGCTTCTATTGGTTGATGAATAAAGCTGCTTTGGCCAATGGCAGGGCAGAATATAGCTAGGTGGGAAATCCAAACTGAAGACAGGGAGAGAGAAGGTGGTGTTGAGTCAGCTGTCGAGAAAGCAAGGCGTGTAGAAAATGAGATAACGCCATGGCCATATGGCAATACACAGATTAATAGAAAGGGATTAATTTAAATGTAAGAGCTGGCCAGTAAGAGGCCTGAGACATCAGCCAAACAATTATAATGAATATTAAGCCTCTGAGTGAGGGGCCAGGCAGGGGCATCTAAAAGCCTCTGGTTACAGACTAGGTATGGTGGTACACTCCTTTAATCTCAGTAGTTAGGATCTGAAGCACGATACATAATCACGTTATTTACTTTAAATTTTTATTTACTTCATGTTTTTTGAAACAGGTTCTCTTGTACATAGCTTCTAACATGCTATGTACCCAAGGATGACGTTGGGTACCCTGATTCTCCTGTCCCTACCTCCCAAGTTCTGGGATTACAGGAGTATGCCAACATGCCCAAATTTTGTTAAACAGAAGATTATATGCTGGTTGCCAGGCCCAGAGGAGGAAACTAAACACTTCTGCCCTTTGTTCTTGATATCAGGGTCACGAGGGGCAAGACAGCATGGTTGAGCACTAAACGAAACAATAATTCACCCACACAGAAAAGGGAGATACTTCTACTTCCCGAGCATGTGTTGGCCCTGTTGGCCCGTGGGACCCACCACAGCAGCAAATGCAGGGCAGCTGGCTATGAACACCGTCCTTGTCCTGCTGTGGTAAACTTGCTCTGTCCCCACCTTGTGGAAGGCAGATGTTAGACTTACCCAAGTGTCATGGAGCAAATATGTATAAGCAGAATAAAGGAACTAACCCTGGGCTTTCCACAGGATATTCTGGCACAAGGTGATAACCTGAGAACAATCCCTGTATTCCAGGCCCAGAGTCCGTTCCTTTTTTGTTTTTTTAACCTTATGTGTATGGGTGTCTTGTCTGCATGTCTATCTGTGCACTACGTGCATGCCTGGTGCCCATGGAGGTCAGAGTGGGTGAGCTGTCCTGGAACTGGGCACCATGTGGGTGACAGAAAATAAACAGGTTCTCTGGAAGAGCAGCCAGTGCTCTTAAACACTGAGCCATCTCTCCATACCCTCCCCAACATTCTTAAATGGCCACATGGGATGAGAAACCGCTCATGTGACTGCCTTGCCCAAGAGCCAAGGTGCTTGTGTTCACTCAGAATTCATAAAGACACTAATCCCAGCACAACTAGTTTAGGGATATAATTAAAATTAAATGAACTCATGGGGTGGGGCCAACTTCCAAGAGAATTACAGAGTAACTTCTTAAATAGAGATCAAAAAGCGTACTCCTACTGTATCTCTGCCTATATCAGGAAAAGCCATGGCAAGACACAGCAGGAAATCAGTTCTGTATGGACCAGGAACAGGAGAGCCCTTACCTGTCACTGATTTCAGACATCCCCGCCTCAAGAATTATGAAGATAAACTTTCTGTTATTTAAACAAGTCAACTAACACACCAAAGAAGCAAAGACCTAAGGTGTCTTGCGTGTACTAGAAACAACAGTAGGTGATAAAGACAGGTGCCAGCATTATTAGATGTATATAAGGAGACAATTATGTCTTTAATGTAAAAAGATTAAGAGATTGCTCAATGGTTATGAGTGCTTGCTGCTCTATCAGAGAACCCAGGTTCAGTTCCCAACAACCAAATGGCAACTCACAACTGCCTGTAACCCCAGTTCCAAGGGATCCACCCCCTCTTCTGGGCTCCATGCATGTGGTTCATATACACTCATTAAGGGAAACACTCACACACATAAAATAAATAACTTTCTATAGGGATGAAGAAAGTGCCAAAGACTTGGTACAAATGATGAAAAGGAAATTTAAGGCAAGAACAATATTTGCATAAAAATATTGATGTGGGGGAAGGCTATTTAAACTTGGGTGGAATTCTCTGTGTAGACTAAACTGGTCTCAAACCCTCAGAGACCCACCTGCCTCTGCTTCTAAGTGCTGGCATTAGAAGCATTTGTTTTGTTTTAATAATAAAATCTTTCTTAGTTTAAACTCTCAAAAAAGAGAAAAGATACTGAAATGTTCT